AAAAAATCAAACAAAACATTAACAATGGATAGAAAAAGGAGGGAGGGACAATGGAAGCGCATCACGCGATTTTAAAGCATGACTGCTAAATGCTCTATTGATTCAGAGATCATGCACGCATTAGTCAATGCCAATAGAAGAATAATGAATCAGTGGACGTTTATAGCCAATGCTTAATTGTATTTTTGCATTGTTTCAACACAATCTGCAATATTGCAGAATGGTTTTTAGACTGTTAAAATTGGAAAAGCCTTATTGAACCAGAACATCAACCTTACAACAGGTTTTCATAAATCTGATAGAAGCTGACCTTAAACAGGTAAACAAATCCTAAAACCAGGCAGGGATTGCAGCCATGTCTTCACTCTGTCTGAAAGGGAAAGTTTCTTGTTCCTCTGTTTTTCCCTAGCCCAATCATTAACTGCTGTAGAGCAGCTGCTTAAAGTAACATCAAACTGATACACAGGTAAACAAGAGCTGCTCAATATATACAGTTCCAGCCAAGTATATATACCAATGATATTTGACAAGCTGAATTCTTGACATTATGTCTCTCAAACCATGCTGTATTTCCACCCAGCTCACTTCACCCCGTCATCGAACAGGAGGGGCATCTATTCTGACCCATGCAGATCTCAAATTTTACAGGGTGAGTCGTTGCGGTTTACATGATAAACAAAGTCGAACAACGGAGTCAGCATCTCCAGATCCCCTCCCAGTTGGGCCAGTATCTGCTTCATGAGCCATGGCTGAATGTTCACTTCCAGTGGAACCCCAGTCTGTCCAGGACTCAGTACCAGAAGCGGCTGTACTGCAGCAGGGGGCCCCCTGTTAGCCTTTGTCTAAGAAAAGCTTTGTATCTAATGCGCAATCAATCACACACCCAGGGCTTCATTGATTAACATGACCCAAAATGCTACAGAAGTTCAACGTTTCCAAATACTGTGAGATTTTGGTTTGCTCTATTTCCATATCCAACGCACCTAAAGTTGTGCAACTTCTCTATAATCAGCCAATTTGCAAGTCTCTTAATGCATCCTTGACATCCCCGCCTGCTTTGTCATTCCTAAATGCGCCTTTACATTTGACGAACAGAGAAATCTCTCAATCCACATCTCTGCCAGCTATGAATGTGCATTTTTGGCAAGAGTTGCATCTGGCTTAACCCTATTGAAAATCCGTGCCCACACCCGACATAAATTATACTAAATGAAATTTTTAAACTCAAAGAGAGTTTAAAGGGATAGTTCGGTATTTTTGACATGAATCTGTATGGCATCCCCATCACCAGCGGCATGCAATCACACTGACTTACCCCTGGCAGCGTCCTGTGAGCAGAGTTATCGTCCAGTTTTGGTCAAGCCNCTAAGAAAAGCTTTGTATCTAATGCGCAATCAATCACACACCCAGGGCTTCATTGATTAACATGACCCAAAATGCTACAGAAGTTCAACGTTTCCGTTGCCGTTTGATAGCTAGTTTATACCAATAGTGTCTAGTATCCCCCAGAAGATGCTTTCAAACTGACATAGACTTCTAATATGCATTATTCATCTCAGAGGAGATACAAAAAAAAAAAAAAAAACATAATATCAAAACATTAGCCTGTTTTTGCTGTGTTCACACTACAGTTAAAAATAACTCACTTTACCAAGGATAGGTTTCACTTTATAATAGTGTGTTAAGCTGAAGTTATCAGGGAGAAGGAAGTAGAACCTTCTGAGAGAAAAACTTTCAGTTCAAAAAGTTCAGTTCGTTCTCCCTCATGGCTGACCTTAAATATTCACCTTCCTCTTTTTTAACCAAGGTTCTTATTATTTCTTTCATCTTAAGGCAGTTCAAAGCACAAACATGGTGACTCACATGAAACCGGAGGACTCTACATCCCTCTGAGCTCATATATTACAGTCAGAAAAGAGTTAGAAATCAGTGACAATGAGATGATGGGAAGCTGTTGCCAAGGTCAGTTATGACTTTATAATTGACCTCACCCTGCATCCCAAACTTACGTTAAACATTATCTTACAAACCTGAGCAGAAAACCAACGCCTAACTTTATTTATAATATAGCCCAGTTTATTTATAAAGTCACAATCAAAAACAAACTTGACACTTTATGGCATCATCCTATCAAACCGTTTAAGTCAAGTAGAAACTAGCAGATGTGCAAATTAGGAACGTGAATTTTACGATACAATCGGTATCATAATACACGTTTCACTTTTTTAGTTTTTATTCCTATTTACCCAGATACAGTAACAAAAACGATATATTGTGATTTTTATATTAACGTAGCTCTGGAAAACCTTATGAGATCTTGTTGTTGCATTGTTGTAGATGGTGCACAGTATCTCTTGCGCAGGAAGTTGCCAATTAGCAGCTAGGGGTTTATGTTGAATCGATAAAAATTATTTCTAATAAAACATCATGATTTTTGAGAGAATCAATATTCTGTGCTCTCCTATAGCCAAATGATTTAGCTCTTAACCATTAAAAAAGTAAAATTAATATTTCATTTTAGGAATTAAAAACAAAAACCATTTAAAGATTAATACAAGTTTGTTACAGGGTAAGAAACTGTGGCTAGTTTTAAAAGGGGGAAAATATATTCCACACTGATAAATATTACATTCAAGCTGAAAAAAAGGATCGCAGGAATGACATTTACAGTCTTTAAGAATTTTTTTTTTATATTTCAGGTCAGTTTCTTCAATTTCTGATTATGTTTGACAGCCTTTGACAAGTTTTATTATAAATAGTGGGAAATAAACAACAGCTGAGCTTTTCCTTACAACCTACTCTCATGGTATTGGTTCTAAAGATATAGTTTTTCATGAATTTCTATGTTCTGACAACCATTTCCAGTGATTTTATAAAGACAACACCCCAATGGGAAGACTATCACCATTCCCACTTACTGGGTAATACAACAGTATGGTAGATTACATACTATGATCTCAAGCACAATTAGCTTAATTTTCAGTTTATTTATACAAATCAGTAAACAACTAATTAACACAAAAACAACAATCAGAGCTTTCTGTAATGCACCAACATCCATGACACCTGATTTGATAGACTGAGTACATTAATAAAAATAGGATTTTGAATTAAAACTGTTTGGTTGATGGAGTTTGATATAAACAACCAGGTCATGGTGAGATTTTAGCATTCATTCATCACCTATGGGTTTAATTCATCTGTAAATCAATCAATAATCAATCATCACCTTTCAGTCGCTGGCATGTATGAATGCGGACCTTTTTTTACTGTTTATTCTATACCTACAAGCACCCAAACTGCTCAACGTTAGTCAACGTAGGAATTGTAGTTAGATGGTCCCACTAAGTGTGCCAGCCAGGTGTGATCCCCACGAGGATCTGGGTTAGTTTGCGAGATTCTGGTCACACAGCTGAAAGTTCCCTGAGATGTTTCTGTAATGGCAGCTAGTAGGCAGCAGCTTCTTAGCAATAGCTAGGCAACCTAAGGCATTCCAACCCAAACTCACCGGGTTCCGTCAGCGAGGTGACTTCCAGCATCCGAACCTTCTGGGCCTCCAGTTGGCGGAGAAAGGGGGCTATAATCGCTCCAAATCCTTTGGACCACCAGCAGCTTGATTCTGTCTGTTCAGATAGCGTTAGCAGAAAGCCTTAGCAGCTAGCGTTAGCCACTGGAGCGCCAAAAAACAATCACAACTTCTTTCAACGGTCGCTAACGCTCCTCTACGTGGAGAATAAACGAGTAGAACTCGTCGCAATCCATCGGTCGTCGTTAGTGGGTCACTATAAGCTCCGGAGTTCCTCTAAAAAAAACTTTTCCTGCCCGAAATTAAGTTTTGTGAACTCGCTAAATCTTTCCGCTGTTAGCTGTCTGTAGGGCTAAATCACTGCTCAACTTCCGGCTCTGCCGCGGCCTGGCGCGCATGCGCAGAAGGGAAAGTAAGGGCCTAGGACTAAACAGAATTTACTCATAGCAATGACTCACAATAACACAAAACTGACACCATAAATCTCAGCACGCAATCAATATCCCACATTAGATTTATGATATTGCAAACAGAGTTAATAATACAACTCAATAATACTGGACACAGACATAAAAAACACAAAAGTCACAATGATAAAAAGAAACAATAATGCACAACATGGTCATAATAATTTACAAAGTCACAATAACCTACAAAACTCACCATAACAAACAACATACTTATTATGGAAGTGAGGCAAACCTTGAAATACTGTCACAAAAAGACTATGTTAAGATATTTCACCGAACATTATACACACCTTATGTGCTGTGCTTTAGTATATTATACTATATGTTTTGCTGCATTTACCTTATTAGGTTTTGCATACTATAGTTCCATTACTTGTTACTACTCTGCAGTTTCCTTTAGTGTGTTTACAGTAGCTTTGCAGTGTTTTAAATTTGGCAAACTTGTTGCAGTGTATTTGTGCTATTACGGACAGGTTAACACATTACCGAAAAAGCACTAAATGAAAAACAGGTTTAAAAAAAATTTGTATAAAACATAAAAGAAAGCTAGAGTAGTTACAAAATTGCACTCTTAGATTAAGCTAAGTTTGCAACAGTCGAGGGACTCTAAAACCGCAGACACCTGATGGAGCGTGAGAAAAAGAGCAACTGAAAACTGAGCTAGACACTGTGCAAACAATAGCATGAATTTAAAGACACTTACCAAGCTTGTTTTGAGCAGTGGTAGCACTCCTCTGTGCATCTATGGAGCAGCATTCCATAACTGAAGAGAACCTCCAGCTCTTCAACAACTTCATGCACTCGGTGGGAGACACTGTCCAACACTAATTATTTTTGTTTTGAAATTGCAGTTGGATAATTTCAGAGCCTATATAGAAAACCTTTTGCTGTAGTTGTTTTTTTGTTTTGTTTTTTGTAAACTACTGTGTAATTTCAATGTTGATTTAAAATCATTAGAGATCTGTTGTATCATTTTTGCTCTGCCGTTGCAGTGTTTTTCAGTGTTGTCAAAGGTGCATCATCTTTAGTGCACTGTTAGAGTACTGTTAAAGGAATTTTTGTACCGTTGATGCAGTATTGTAATTGTTCTATTAAAGTGTTGTTATAAGGTTGAAGCTTGACTCATTGCCTTTTTCCTGCATGGAGTTTACATGTTCTCCCAGCGTGAGCGTGGGTTCTTTCCAGGTACTCTGGCTTCTTAGGCCAAAAACATTTCTGACAGATAAATTGCGGCCTCTAAATTGTCTCAAAGTGTTAATGCATGGTTTTTTATCTTTGTTCCCGCACTGGCAGCTGGTCCAGGGTGTACTATGCCTCTTGCCCATAGACTGCTGGAGATAGACACCAGCCCCCTGTGACCCTGACAGATAAGCAGCAGAAGGTGTGTGTATGGATGGACAGATGAAATACTTTTTCCAGTGTTTAACAGCATTGTGAGGAGTTAGAAAAAGTTCTTAGGAGTGTTTTTGATTCTGAGTTACATATGAAAATTTCTTTGGTGGCAGAAGGTTTTAATCAATTTTGATCAATAACAACAGAAATCAGGTATTTGTACACGTGCTGCATGTTTAATGAGCTGTTCACACACAGGTATTGTTAGGTAGAGGTACAGGCTCGGAATTCGGTACAGAACTTGCACAGGTACAGATTTGGCTACAAGCAGATCTCCAGGTACAGGTTAAGGTAGAAGAAGATGAACAGGTAACATACAGGTACTGTTGTTCATCTGTATACATATATTTAACGAGGAGCTCAGTCGACTATTGATAGAATAAATGTTCAGCAGTGGAGTGTGCACCTGTGATCAGAGCTGATTGAAATATTCAGTCTCCTGAGGTTGTTTCATTGCAAGCTTCATCGTGACACAGAAACACAGTGTACAGCCACAGACGCACTCTAAATCCCGTTACATAAATTATCATAATTCTTCAGAATAAAATATGGACACTGATAGAAAAATAAAAGGTTGTGTTTTGTTTTTTTTCTTTTTTTAATGTTAAGCTCAACAGTCACTTCGCAGGCAGTACAATCACAGCGTCTCTGTGGGGAAGGATTAAGACTCCTGATTAGTGACTCTTCTGATGGTTGTTGATAATTCACAGCACGATTACAGGCTCACTCACCTCTCTGCCTGCTGGGATTCACATTCTTGGGACAGTGTGGACGAGGCTTTCCTGCTCACTGCGCAGCTTTCGGGCTCTGAGAACATCACGAATGCACTGATGGAGGTACAGGTACTGACCCTGGTGGAAGAGGAGGGATCTGTTAACGACAATCTGAATACAATTCCCTTTCAAAATACCAGAACAGAGCTTGGGGTGTCATAGGGCTACAGAGTTAGTAAGAGAAAAGGTGATCAGTAATAGCTTCTTTGTTTTTAAAACTTTTCCTGAAAAAACAAGCAAACTTTTTATCATCTATTGATTTAAACCAGGGAAAATGTCTAAAACTCAAAGAACAGAACAGAGGCCCCTGAAGAATGGCGTATAGATCATTTGAGTAAGGTACTCACGCAATCTCCTTAGGACTGTAGACCCTGAACAATCTTACCAGAAAGCCCTGAATTAACTGTAGCGTGCTATCATGAATAACTGTGGATCCGACAGAATTAAATCAGTCACGCTTTTATTATCCATCCATCCTTCAAGTTTTGAAGCTATACTCTCTATTTTCTAGACCTCAATGAGGGTTTCAAACATGGGTGGATTGCAGCAAATTTGGAGAAGCTAATCCCCGTGTGAAGAACATCCTATTGCTGCTACATTCTTCTTGGCATGGGTAATAAATCTGCACTTAGATGCTCATGTGTCACCCTACAGCCACCTTCCCAGATGCTTGGGGATCTACACTTGACGCAGGATTGAAGTGCCAAATTTAGCCTATTAAAGGGCAGTTTAGAGTCTGCAGGATTTCCTCAGTAGTAAGTGGAGATGACCCACGATTTACCATTCTAAAAAAACTTCATCAAACTTGCATGAAGTTTGACTCTTTCAGATTGACCAAGATAAAGGTGGTGAAATTAAGCACTAGAGAAAAAGTATATATGTAAATGTATGAAAGCCAAGAGTAGTTTTAAAGCTATATCCCCACCCACTAAAAACCTGTTAAGCCTCCTTTTCCTCTTTTTTCATTTTCTATTTAATTTAAATACCAAATTTGTACTGATAGAAAACATCTGACAGCTCCTTAACAGGACAGCTCCATCTTAATGACGGCATTAATCCCAGAATGCATCAGACCCACCTCAGTCTGCACCATGTGTGATCGGTGGAGACGCAGGTCGAAGACAACGCCATATATGTCCGCTGTGTCTCTTGTGTCGAGCTGCTGCAGTACTCGATCCAGGACGATGAAGGTTCCAGTTCGGCCGACACCAGCACTAAAATTAATTCAGCTGACTCAGTTACAGTAAGAACGGTAAAAACATAAACATGTCAGTCTAATTATAGGTGTTAGTCATTAGACCCATTAGGGGTCTAATCACATGGGTCTAATGACTAACCTGGGCTGCTTTGCTTTGAAGATTTGGTAAAAACTGTAGCCTATTTCTTAGCAACTACAATTTCCTCTATGACTCTCAAATAAAATCTATTTATCAGCATATTTCATCAGTAAAGAGAATTCACTAAACCATCTTTAAAAGGCTACAACAAATAAAATTTATAGTCATTTAATAGCTTCAAATCAAAATAATTTACTTCAGGTCAAATCGTAGATTTTTGGTAAAGTTGCTCTTCAGGTATTACCTGCAATGGACCACGGTGGGACCAGAACCGGGGGTCCTGTTGACATAGTCCCGGACGGTTCGAACAAACTGGATGAGTGACTGTGTGCTCTCTGGTACTCCATGATCGGGCCACACTGTGTAATGAAACTGCCGAACAAGGCGGATGAAGCTCAGCTGCTGCTCCTAAACACACAGGAACTTTAAGTCAACACCTAAATTCGCTCAGTGAGGGAGAGTTAACATATTTTTCTAGCTGGTTTAGTGATCAGGAAACATACACTACAGATTCTGAACTCTCGGATTGTCCATTCGGGCAGAACCGACTCTGACAGCATTTGAACTATGAGGTCTCCATAGTAGAGAGGATCCTGATCAAACGGCCAGTAGTGATCGCACTTTACCTAGATGGAGAAGTAAGATGGGTTCAGGGGATATTTTCAGAAACTTTGAGACTCTATACCATTGGCGTTGGGTCACATTGTACTTACCCTGCCCTTCTCCACACACTGAGTGACCATGACCACATTATGGACATTCTGTTCCCATACCATCTTCCAGAAGTCATCCTTTGTTCCAGGGAGAGGACCCTGTGTAGCGATGTACTCCCGACGGAAATTGTTGCCCTAAATAATATACAGCAAACCAGAACACAATTCTTGTGAAACATGCTCACATGAGAACATCTTTGACAATAGATTAGTGATAATCATTCTGTTGCATTGTTTTAACAGTCTGACTGATGAACAAATTCAAGTTCATGTTTGAACCTCAGAGATGATCATGCTGGTCCACTGTTCTCACCATTTTTAGGCTGTGATCTAGAGTGTGATTCAGAGTTCTGCCATAAAATCAGTCTAAGCTTAGGTCCAAGTAACAACCAGTACAAATCACACCAAAACCAAATTTGCAATAAGAAAACCGCTGTTCAAGCTGAAAAAAAATCAAAGCTGTTCCAAACAGATTAAATACATATAACTACCAGTCTACTCACAAAATGTCCACACATAAAACACAAGATTTAACACAATCTAAACCCAAGTCACAGTCCAAAAATAATGCCACAACCAGTGTAATCCAAGTAAGAAAACCACTTGAAATTCCACCAAAGTACAGAAGTAGTACAGAAGTAGGTCAAACAAAAATGATAGTTAAACTGGTCAAAATCAAGGTCCAAGCTGATGCCTCAAAAGGCTCAAATTTTACTCCATAAAAGCCAAGCAAATTTTTCATGTCCAAAAGTGGTTAATAACTACTCCCAACAAATCTAGTCCCTTACACCACAGCAAGTCCTTTCTTAAAAGCATAAGTATAAACTCAATTCAAACCAAAGTCTAAATCACATTGTATTGTATTGTAGAGCTAATGCCACTGCTAGAATAAACCCAGTCAATCCCACCAAAGCCAAGATACAACAGTAGAGAAGTAAATCTCATAATCCAAAAAATGGTTGAAATCCAAGTTTAAACTAAAGTCTTAAAGCCTAACACTGAGTTAATAATCATGGCAAGGAAAAATTGAATCAATATAGACAAATATGAGGCATTTGCTTTAAACCTACCCCTGAATGAGTCTAAAAGTTTAAATCAAACACTGAACCAGTACAAAACACAGTCAAACCAAGAAAAGAACAACAACACATCTTAACTCAAATCGAAAGTCTTTACTGGAAGTCTAACATTTGTGTGAGTCAGAGAGATTGGTGTCTTACTGGAATGTAACTGGCATTGATGTAGTCTGAACAGGGATCATCGTCCATGTAGGTCAGCTTTACCCTTGTAGAGTCATCTGAAGACAGAAATAACAGAAATAGTGAGATGAAGACACAGATGTGAGTGTGAGCTGAAGGAGATGTCACATACAGGGCAGAATGTTGTTGTATCGGTTCTTCCCTCGGTTCTCTGGCAGCAGAGCTGAGTCCAGTGGTTGATTACGGCCAACGTCCTTTAAGTCCTGTTGAGAAAAGTAAAGGAACAAAAGCACATTGTTAGCAACTGACACGTGGATTATTTTTCAGTTACAAACAAATCTTTAACAAAGACCCATCTAAGTGAACCGGGGGTCATACTTTAGGGTGGTTCTGTTTGATCTAGCCAACCCTAACAATACAACCTCTCTAGTTTAACAAGGTCTGACTACGGATCTGTGCATTCTGAGGTAAATTAAATAACCAATCACAATTATTCATTTCAATCAACCCTTTTTCTAACAAGATAAACAAACATCTCTGTTACATTAAATCCAAACTGCTCTGCAGCTCAACAGGTTGCAATCAATCAAAGAAAGGTGAACCCACAGTTACCTGCTCAGACTCAGACTTCAATTGGTTCTTAAAGAAAAAAAAAAAATCAGGTTCTGATTGACTGAGAGGGAGATGGCTTACCTCATACTCCTCAGATAGGAGATAGCTTGAGTCAGCCAGCAGTTTATTGTAGTGAGATTCAAAATTCATGATCTTGATGGGGCTGAAAAAACAAACAAACTTTAAACTGCAAAGAGAAAATTATACGAAATTTTAAGACAAAATCAAAGAAATCTGAATGTCTCACCTGGAAATTCTCCGGCTGCTGGGGACCAAGAGGAAAATGTATTAGAATTAGACAGATATCTGATCATTAATAATACGATATAGACATTAGCAAATGTATTCTTATTATTTTAAAATACAAAATAGTGTTGCACCGATACCGATACCAGTAACGGACAGGGCCCCGATACCGCACTAAAATGGTGGTATCAGTATCGGAGAGTACTGACAAATAGGGCACCGAAACAGTTTTGAGAGCCATTAAGAGGTAAGCCATTCCAGGTAGGCAATAAAAAGTTCTACAGGATTCACTTTGTACTAGGTTTTTTCCTGCTTCACAAAGGTAGGCAGCAGCTTGACAAAGCAATGATGGAAATTATATTACATCCACGTAGTATGCAGTTCTTCATATACACACACATCACTTTCAAAAAGATGGTATTGGTATAATATCGGTATCGGCCAATACTGCAAAGCCAGGTATCGGGGCCAAAAAATGGCATCGGAGCAACACTAATATAAAGTGGCTGCCATGATTAAGTTTTTCAACGTAATTTCCACCTGATAAAAAACTTTGTGTTAGAAAGAATTTTTAGATGAGAAAAGCTAGATGACATAGCAGGAGGGCGAAAACAATTAATCGGATTAATTGTTATTAATCAATAATTGAAATAATTGTCAACTAATTTAATAATTGATTAATAGTTAACTGGAGTATAGAGACTCTAAAACATGCATTTAGCTGACAGAGCAACTCACATAGAGCAGTAATTATAGCAACTGTCAACATGTTCTATCTAGAACTCCTCAAGTGGAAATGTTTGAGTTTCACCCGCTTTGATTTCGTAAAAAGTCTTCTTTAAAGAATCTTTGGCTATCTGATTATTAATCGGAAAAATAATCAACAGATTAACTGATTTGCAAAATAATTGTTAGATGTAGCCCTACATAGGAGCATTGGCACACTATATTATTTTCTTTCAATTAATTTTAATCTAATATTAGAATCACGTCAATATGATTGACACATTTATCCCACTCATCTGGAGTATTAATGCTGTTCAAATAAAACATTTTCTTCTTAATAGATAATAATATAGAATATGATTACAACCTTTACGGTAATCAGTACATTTTATGTAATATTTCAAATTCTAAATCACAAAATAAAAATCACCAATTTCAAGGGTTTAAGAAATGACCAGCAGCCAGACAATTGTCTCAGTTAAGGGATTAAACACATTGTTATGTAAATTGTAATTCTTTAAGTGCAGAATGTATTTCTTCATTTGTACTTTCCATATTATCTTTGGTTCCAATGTTTTCACTGCACTAACATCTAGTGGCTGTAGATGGAACTGCATTCTGTTTTGGTTAAAACAATGTTATCACTTAAAGTGACTTGGTGATTGATTCTTACCCTCTGACTCCCATTTGGACTCCTGCTGTCGACCTTTCTCTCCTTAATCCTCTTCTTACTGCAGGTCTCTCCTCCACCCTGATGACAACATAAAAAAACTTTTTATTTTGGGTAAACCTTAGCGGTTGTTAAGATCTGCTACACAGGTATCATATTCTATATTGATGTAAGTTTTTCTGGTATGCTATAGTATGATGTATCATCTGGTGTTTCTGTCATATGTTGCTATCATTTACCTTGTGAACCCCCACTCACTTGTGTCTACAAATACTCACAAGTTGCGAGCCTTGTGCCTGCAAATGAGTAGAGCAGTGATGGCAACAATCATCATTATGAGGAAGAGTCCGGCACTGATACCTTCGATGACACCACTCAGGGGTTCTGCAGGAGAGAGAAAAATAAAATGCATGCAGCTACTAAGCCTTCTGTATACATCTCCACTTGTTTCTTTTTCTAACTGAGTTTAGGAGGTTGTATAATGCAAGTAATTTATAGGATATGCCATTACCTGTCTCTGTGACAATAGGCAGGGACAAGAATGTGTCGGTGAACAAAGGAGACGATAATTTTGAGTTAGTAGCTTCTTCATCAAACAGCTGAGTGAAAGCTCGGATGCTGATCCTGAGAAAAGGAAAATAGATAGGCATGAAGGGTTTCTTATTTCTGGAGGATTAATGATCCTGAATTTTTCCAGATCAACCTAAATCATTAACAGTCCACTAGAAATTTTAAAGTCGAACTAAATCAAAGAGTTAGATTTTTTGACACAGTAGAATCGATTCAAAAATAATTGTCAGTAACCTTTAATTTTTTTCAAGACAAACCAAACCTGTTTCAGCACCTAATTCATTAATTTCTTTGAAAAAAATAATAGCCTGTTTTATATGTGTTTAGTACCTGTAAGATGTCTTTGACTTTAGAGGTCCATCACAGAAGTGGCTGAGGTCTCTGATTGCCTCTCCATGATTCAGATCTGTGCGGTCACAGGGACCCCCCAGAAAGTCTGTACCAGACCCTAGGCTGACATTATAGAGCTGGTTGCTACTGTCTGGGCCATCTGAGCAGAGGCTGGGAAAGTAGTTGGTCTGGTAAGACTTTACTGAGCTGTTGTATCTGTAGTCCAGATAGGAGGGCAGAGGGTGGTGCTGGTCTGGCTGCATGTCATTGACACCTACACGGACAGGTTTCAGGTTGAAGGTAGATTCTGATGTTAGTAAAGCTTAAGAGTAGGACTGATAAGATATAAGACAAAACCTTTATAGTACTTATCATAGTCTTATCAACTGACTCAAGCAATCACTACCAGAATTCTGTTCAGAGACTGGTTAGTTCAGTTACCAGACAGTGATGCAAATAAAATATGTATGATGGAGAAGAAGGAAACTCTTAAGGCTATTTAAGCCCCTTTTGGTCTTGGAAGTGGTTTTAGGACTTTGATCCTGCTCACCTTCAGATTCAGTCACAACCACAGCGAAGAACTTCACTGCTCCATTAATATCACTGAACCAGCTACAATTAAACTGGAATATGATTGAGGACCTGGTGACCATAGTGGACTTGTCACTGACCCGGGTAGTCAGGGGCGGCAGGGGAGGACCTATAAGAACCAAAATTTAAAAAAAGATCAGATTAACTCATCTAGCATCTCTCTGGAGGACAATGTCAAACTTTGTTCTTTCTCACGATCGATCATGGTGATTACGCTTTCCTCTGCCTCCTCACTGGTCGTCCCGTCAGATATGACCTTCACAGAGATTGTGTAACGTTTGTGGGGTTCCAGCTGAGTGATGACATAACTGGTGGAATCTCGACTTGTACGCCTTGAATAGACTAGGTTGTGAGTGTCCTGGTGAAGACATTCAATGGTGTAGGAGTCATAGTCGGCTCGTGGAGGTCCCCAAGAGCAGGAGATTGATGTAGAACTCTGAGGTCGACAGTGGAGGTTGTGGACCCGTTCTGGCTCTGCGGAGGTAAATCAGATAAGATGACACTTCATAGTTGTTTATAAAAGGGACTCTGTTACCTAGTAATCTAAAAATCTGCCTTGCACTTCTCATTGTTTTCCTCACATAGATCTCCCTTTGAATAAAATACAAATTTTACATTCCTGATGCATGAATAAATCCAAATTACTTGCAACTTCAAGACCAGTATTTGAAAAACAAAAGTAATATACTGCCACTTACTTGTTCGAATGCTCTTTTGTATGGGAGTGCTGTAGGTGGCTGTGGTGGCTTGGTCCGTGGCCCCACTGACAGTTCGGAGGCTGAAGGAGTAAAGACGTCCAGGGAACATTCCCTTCAGGATTCGGCTTCCAGACGTTTGGCTGTGGTACGGATTAATGACAGACAGCTGGTCCTTGGGAGTCCACTGCAGGTCGAAGTTATCATAGTCAGAACCTACTGGACCATTCCAGGTGATCTCTAGGGATGTGTTGGTGACTCCCCCGAACAGGAAGGAGGAAGGGGGGTTGGGAGCTGGAGGGAAGGTCGATCAGACACAAATTGTTACATTTCTTGTTGTGTTTGATCTTGTGCAAAATACTTCGAAGTGAAGGAAGAAAGAAGTTGGTTAAAACTATTATTATTTTCTGGGACAGGCCCATGCTTTCTCAAAACCTGGCTGAATAGGTAATGCAGAAAGGGGATACTAAGTTCCAGCTGCCAGTCAAAGTTTCTTTAGATTAAAATAACTGAAGTGTAGCCAGAAATAATCAAGTAAAAGTAAATGAGGCACTGTTTGTAAGTAAAAATGATTCAGTGTTGTTAAATGTGGATGTTTTAGGAATTGATAATGTAAAAAGCTGTAAGATGTAAAATTCAACAGGCCAAAACGTACTAAATAACTAATAAAATAAAACTAATCCAAACGGGTATAGGAAGAGCAAGAAAGTAGAGGATATAAGGGGCGGCCAGATTTAAAAATATGAGGAACATTGGATTCAGATATAACCAGTCAACAGAAAACCTCTCCTAACTAACCTGAGAAAGATTACCATAAACTGAGGCGGACCAACAACATTAAACAATACATACTATAAAACAACTTTGCTGTATAATACTTTGTGCAATCGGTTGGTTGGACTTACCGGTACGGCCTAAAGTGCTTGCTCGGTTGCGAAGCTCTCCACTGAGACTAAATACATCAGCTTGGTACTTTCGGCCAGGCACGAGGCCTGTAAATCTGAATTCGGTCACCTCGGAGCTCAGTTGATGCTCAGCCTGCCGGGATCCATTGGGATTGTAAAGCAAGAGGATATACCCAGTAATATCACCATGACCATGATCCCACTTGATCAACAGAGTATCAGACTGGTTTCCACTCTGAGCTTTGAGAGATGCTACAGCTGCTGGTACTGAAAAGAAAAATGTTCACTGAATTTACCTTTTGGTGATTCAACACCACAGCTTCCCTGACTGATTGAACATTTGTCTGCTCTCACCTGTCCTAGCTAACATTGATGTCTCATTGGTCTGGTCTCCACTGTGGACCAGGATCACCAGATTGTACAGCGCTCCAGGTCTGAGACCCTGGAAGGAGCACTGCTGAATACTAGGTTGGATCCGTTGACTCTCCTGCAGAGATTCATTACTTTTATACAGAAAGACTTCATAAATTTGGAAGTCTCCTTCTGGTGGTGACCACTGAAAGGATAGGCTTGTAGTTGAGCTGGTTTTGATGGACAGACCAGTAACAGACGCAGGTTCTGATAGCAAAAAAGACAGGGGAAGACACCATATAGTTAGCTTTTTTGAGTAACAAATGGTCTTAAACACAATTGAAGTTGTAATAATAGGAGGAAACTCAAACATTCGTTTTCCTTTTAATTAAACTTCCTTCTGAATATTTTGTAACATATCGGCTTAAGGTCATGGTTCATTCTCAGACAGATAAAAACCATATTGTCTGTGTAGAAGCCAAAAACATACGTGTTCGAGCTTCAGTGCTAATCCCCAGGCTGTGGAGTCCCCCGCTGGTGGTCTGCACCTGGATTCGATACTTCTTGCCCGGCGTGAGGCCATCAAACCTATACCGCGTGAATCCAACTGGCTGTGAGCCATTGGCAATAATGCTGCCTCTTTCATCCAGAACCTGGAGGATGTATCCATCGGACACACCAAGAGCTTCTTGCCAGCTCACCTGCAGACTGCAGGTGCTTGGGACAGGCTCCACCTGCAGACCTGTGACTGGTAATGGGACTGTAGAGTGGGAAGGGTTTAGGCTTCATATACATTTGGTATGTAAACAATTCATATTTTTATAGGTAAATATAGGTTTATGATGAATTTATATGAGATATTTCTGCAAGCAGCATGCTCTAAATGTAGGAGAAGGAAGTGAACAAATAGGGAAGAAAAGGAACAAAGGAAGGAACATTGGGCACAAGGGAGGGAGATCACAGAAAGAGAACGAGGACACAAGTGAGGAACAGAAAACACAAGAAATGAATGACATTCTAGATAGTTTGATGTGAAAAAAGGAACGGAAGAAAAGGATGACCCAGGAAAGATGGAAGGAAAAGAAAGAAAGAATGCATGGATGTAAAAAATTAAGAAGGGAATTAAGGGAACACAGAAAGAGAGGTAAGAAGGACAGAAAGACGACAAGAAAAAAAGACAAACAGCAAGAAGCAAAATTCAGATTAGGATAGAGAAAGTCTGAAAATACAAAATCTTTTACAAAACTGATTTCCAAAATATTGATATTTCCAGACTGTAAGAATGTTGTACAGCTCACTTGTACAGCCAATTCTGTGTGTTCTCACCTGTGCGTCCTGTGGACGTGTTGTTGTTCAGCAGTTCTCCACTTGCAGACTGCACCACAACACTGTACTGCTGACCTGGCTGTAGCCAGTCAAAGATCACCTCATTCTGGTGCTTAAGGACAGCTTGCATGGCCACTTTTCGACTCTCTCTGTACAAAAACACTGAGTATCCATCCACATCACCTGGTCCAGGCGTCCAGCTCACTTTCAGACGGCTGCTGTCACCATTAACATGGATATTCTTCACCTTACTGGGAGCTGACAGAACCAATTAAAGCACTTAGATTAAACAGCAAGCAGGAGGATTCCTATGTTTGCAGCTCTTTAACTACTTCCTCTCTACTGAACAAAACATGTTTACACACAGCTACAGTTTGCCAAACGTTGGGGTCCAGCAGTGAGAAGACTATGAGTTCACTCGCAACAGATTAAAGCAGCACTAAACCAGAACACAGCAGTATGACTGAACCAGAAGTTAGAAAAACCTGCAAGTTTTTTTAATAAGCACCCTAAGCCTATATCAGACAAAACACATTTAGTGGACTCAAATCTACAATTTCTTATAAATGTCTCAATGTCTTGATAAAAAACAGTATTTGTCCTACCTGTGCGACCCTCTATGAACTGGGTCTTCTGATTCGGCCCGCTGAAGGTTGACACCAAGATTTTGTAGAGTCGTCCAGGTGTGAGTGATGACAAGACACACTCCCCTACATTGCTACCCAAGGTGATGGGAGGAAAGACCTTCATGTCGCTGAACAGCAGCTGCACCTCATAGTGATCCACGTCTCCTGGAGCTGCTGACCACGTCACCCGAAGATCCTCAGTACCCCGTCCCGCCAGAGTTAGAGACTGGACCGCTGCTGGGACTGAAGCAGGGATATCACAGAAGCTGTGGTTAGTCACTGTGAAACCTGTATGTAAATACTGAGACATAACCACGATTATGGATAATGAAGAGTTACTTACAGGTTCTCCCATGGGTCGAGGCACTGGCCTCGTAAGAACCACTCCAAGTATTCACTAGTACCGTGTAGAGCCGTCCTGGTACTAGACCCGTGAATACACACTCGCTCTGAGTCTTCTGCACAGTCTTGTTCTGCAGGAAGGTGTTGTTGTGTTTGATGAACACCTGGTAGAGGTCAAAGTCTCCTGCAGCATGACGCCAGTAAACCTTCAAGTAGTCGTCCCGAGCACCATGAGTCGCGGTAGGGTTTTGGACCTTCGAAGGTTCTAATTACAAAAAAAGAGATAAAAATTATAAGTCAGAATGTTGTTGACTGTGTGCATAAAAGATTGAAAGTAAGACTTTTGAAACATTTAAAGTCTTTTGAGCCCGTTGAAGAGGCAATGTGCCTGAGTGTCTAAAGTGTGCTAGAATACGTTAACTGAACCAAAAAGTTAGGCTATGATCAGCTGGAAGTGACAGCATGATAATAACGGTGGGGGTAACTGAGATCACCAGTCTAAATCTTTCCTTCTGAGCTTTTGCAGATTCTAATTTAAAGCCATTAGATTACCCAGATGTCATCAAAAAAACAGGTTTTCTTCGCTGCCTGAGACTGGTTTGCATTTGGGTTCCCCTAAAGTGGATGGAGCCAAGATCAAGCTGCGCACCAGAGCTGCATCTAGAGCAGTAGCATATATATAGCCAGGGAAACATTACGGACTGCAAGCAAGGGTAAGAAATAAAAATCCTAATTCATACTATAAACAGTGCCATAATGGTTTTGGATCATATGCTACAGCATGTTACCTAAAAGAAGTTTTATTTTTTTGGCCTTATTCAAAATTCTTTTTTCTAACCTTCAACTTGGTGGTGGGAGATTTTGACTTTTTGGTACAAGTTGGTCTGCAAGAGTTGATGTAACAAAAGCTTTGGCTACAAAGCTATTCAGTATGCTACCAATGAAATCAAACTTGACCATGGAACCCCAGAACTGCTCAATACAAGGCGTGTCAATAAATAGCAGTGATCAACAACCTTGAAACTGTAGTTATGACAGCACTATGGGATGACCTGCTGAAGATAAGCTCTTTAACCAGCAAACATTGCAACAAATACAGATTAATGTATGTGCTAATCCTGTCCTGTACAGTTAACTCAGGGAGTTCATAGGAGAGGCAAGAAATGATTTTGATGTCTGTGAAGCAGAGGCCTAAACTGTAAGTGCAACAGGGGCATACAAAGCAGACAGCCAAAGGAGGCAAGTGATGAAAGGCATTTTTCGGTGAGTCAGCAGGTCAAGAGCTGCTGCCCTCAGACTACGAAGCATTCCTGATTGACTCACATTATGTCACTGCTTGTCCGAAGAATTGCAATGACCAAATTTGGAGAAGAAATTTGGTTTCCCAACTAGAAAACAGTCAATGATTATTAAATAAATCCATACACCAGCAAAAACCTGAAGAAGAGTTTTTCCAGTTTATATCTATGGTAAAAGGGATAAAAACATGATGGACATGTAAAATAAGCTCCTAGAGCTAGGCTTGATGGAGTTTTCCAGAATGTGAACATTTGCCTTTACACGTATCAGACATGACCATTTGCAAACTTTGGAGGAGAAGATCATCTTCATTGAAGAAACGATTGAAAACATACCAGAGAGGAACAGGAACAAAAAATAAAAATAAATAAAATAAAATAAAACTGAATGCCTTTGATATGTGGGCAATTGAGAATGCATTTAGAAACTCTCTGGATTTTGAAGACAATATTAAGGACTTGGCCCAATCAAAACTCAGAAGAAAGCATCTAAAGCGTGAGTTTTTCATTTAAAAATCTAAATCTAAATAAGGAAAATGAAGATTACAATTAAATATAAAATTCCTATTAATTAAATGTATAACTTAGAGTTATACTTTCCACTGTTATGACATTAGATCTCAGAAACAAAATAAGTTCATATTTATCTTAATAAATATGAAAGGCCACTTGGGTGAGTGGGCAGCCTAGTGGTTAGGGCATAGAGCTTGGATTCCTGAGGTTCTGAATTCGAGCCCCACTCCCACAGACTGCCACTCTGGGTCTCTGAGCAAGACCCTTAAAACCCCGATTGCTCTCCGATCGTCACACAGTGGCAGCCCACTGCTCCCCAAGGAGAAGGATTAAATGTAGAGGCAAATTTCTTTAATGTGAGATCAATAAAGTTTAAATATTTATCATTATTATGAAAGGTTCATGTTGTTTGTCTTGTTCATATTCTTAACCCTGTAATGCCAAATGTATCATATTTGATACATACAGTTTCTGAAATGTTTTGCATCTGACACCTTTTGCATAATTTAATGGTAAAAACTTTGCTCAAAATCCTATTGTACACAATCAGATATACCAATAGATAATAGCCAGTAGAAGACTACACAAAAAATAATCTTGACTTATCTCATAGTAATAAATTATTATCAAACATGTATTTCAGTTTTTTTTATATACATATTTTGTTAAAAGGGCAAATAAGGAATTCAAAAAAAAAAAAAAGGAATTTTCTGTTTTGTTTTATTCTTGGATCAAAAGGAATTTTCTGTTTTGTTTTATTATTGGATCAGGCTTTAAAGGGTTAATCAGAGGTGTGAATATGTGCTCTAGAGGAAAGAACAATAATTTTTGTTCATCCAATTCAGTTTTCCTTGGCTTAGCAGGTCATTAAATAAACGTGGAAAATGTGTTCTTGGTTCAAACATAAGCAGAGGTGTCAAGTAACAAGTTAAAAGTACTTCGTTACTGTACTTTAGTACACTTTTTAGGTATCTACACTTTACTCCATTACCTATTCATCTTCCTACATCTGACTTCTACTCATTACATTTAAACACAAGTATCTGTACTTTCCATTCCTCACATTTAAAACAAACTTTACTTGTTACTCTTGGCTTCAGGTTACTGCTTAAAAATATTAATTTCACGTCATGTGCGCCATCCAATGCAGATCATTGGCTCCATCCACATCTAGTGAAAACTAGTGTAATTGGATGAGTCATATAACGCAAACACTCATTGGTTAGCTAAAAGAAATAATCAGAAACATACAGGTGTTCTTCAAACTGTAAGTGTGAATTGTCTATGCCATGCTACAATGTCAGATTCAGAAAAAATGTTAAAATGTCTGAAAGGTCGGACACAGGCGAGAGCGTATCAGGAGACAGAAACAAACAAGACCTCCCTCATCCTTGGCCCTATCTCAAAGAAATTTTTGAAAATAGTCCTAAAATTGAGCTTTCATTTCAAATAGTGAAATGTTTCTGTGATTAAATCGGCTTACGCAGTACAGTGTGCAGAAAAACAATGAGAGCAGTGGAGAAAACGGCTGATCAGTCCAGACCAGAAGTGTTAAAGAGTGTTGAATACCAGAAATTGAAGAGAGATGATGCTTGTCCATTAAAATACATCTTGACTTTACCATTGCAACAGTTTCTCTTACTGCATTTTTTGTTATTTTAGTAAATTTGACTTCCTATTAACTATTTAATTTAATCACCACATTTAATAATTTTTTTTGCAAAATGCAATAGCTTACACACTGTGTTTACGAAGCAATGCTGACACATCAGTGATTTACTGGACTACTGCCTTAACAATGACATGTACAACGGATAAGATAAGCATTTAACAGAGCCTTGTATTAAAGTATAAATATGGAAAAAAAAATGCCTGATAGAGTGTTTATTTGTGACTTATTTGAAATATTTTGACACACAAAGAACCATATTGTCGTATCCAAAGACTACGCTATGTAAAATATTAATTAGCTTTTATAAGTAGCTTTGGTAAGTTCAAGGTTTTATGTCATAAATAACATCAATGGAGGGGGTCCAAAAATTGCAGTTTGCCTATTAAATTAATTTTATCTAATCCTGCTCTGCTTATCTGACCTCTTTTTTGTCATATTTGAAAGCATAATTTCAATATTTAGTTAAGAGACAAAATAAGAAAATACATCTTTAGTGAGGGTGCGACTTAAACCTGCCTCCACCTTGCCCTCTAAGTCTTTTAATGAGCTGGTAAATAAGTTATTCTAAGACCTTGGATATAACTGATTCAGTTACTGCAATTAAATTTAATGTTGCTTCTGCGAAGGAAAAGTCTCTGTGGAAAAGTGCTCCACAAGTTTGAAGTGAAAAAAGGGAATGTTAAAAAGCTAATAGCAAATACAGTTATAAATAGAAAAAACTATACACATATAACTTATAACAAAGTAAGAGAATTTTTATTTTCTGAGATGATCAACAAAAACATGCATGATTGGCCAGACTAACAACAGGTAGCACCTAAATTCAACTCCCCCAGGACCTGCAACATATTTGTCAACTTCTTTCCTAAATAAAGCCCGATATATTGGAAGAGCAATCTGTATGACCCGATTAACTGCAGTACCAAATTTAACTCCAACTAGAAATGATCTTAATTGACAAAATTTCCAAATTTTGCAATATAAACTAAAAAAACAAAAGGAACCAACATAGCTCTTCCTCCCACTGTCTTAATGTTTTACCAACAGCTCTGCCTGTCATAACATCTGATTTAACTTAAATAATAAACATTGTGCCACATGATAAACTATGCTGACATCTTTTAAACTTTTGTTTATAAAGCTAAAGCAAGCTTAATTCCACTATGGTTTAAACAGTAATACAACGTTAAGGTTCATATGATTTCTCAGATGCTCATTACATTTTTATACCTAATTGACTACTGACCAATAGTCATTTAATGGGAATCCTCATGTCTGCTAACTACTAGCTCAATAAAAGAAGGTTAATAATCAATTATCGTAACTAATTAACTAAAGGTCATTTATTTATGATTAAGCAAATCATTTAATGTTTTATTCACCTCTTGGATTTGAACTGTGAAATGGTTTGAACACAGTCCAATTGCTCTAAATGACTGAAAAGCTAATTTGATCACATTCCAAATTCTTCAAGGTAACATAACATATTTACCACCCCTACATTATAGCTCCACAGCATTTGTTATCATTGTAAGTATTTCTTTCAATAATTGAGGATTACCAACCAATTTTGTCCACATATGTACTTAAAAACAGTGGCCTTTCACTGTGTTATCTAATTATTTTTCATGAAGTTTGCAGTTTAACTTTCCTTTCATTTTTTATCAATAATTTTATCATTAATGTTATATAATCATCTCATCATCTTAATTATTCAATTTTTTCTCTGAAAATATTCATGTTCATCGATTATTTAATGACCTTTATGCCACTGCTATGTACCTTTCTTTTTCCATGTACAGCAGTCAAACTGTCTTGCTATTGGAATGTGCTATATAAATAAACTTGCAAACTTACAAAGAGACACCCCGAATCCAAAGACAATTAGAACCAGAACAGAACCAAATCACCACATCCACAGACTCAATAAAGAGTTGCTTACGTGTTCTCTCCTGGATAAAGGTGTGGTTTTGGTAGTTTCCACTGCAGCTGGTGATGGAGATGTTGTAGATGCGTCCAGATATCAATGAACTGAAAACACACCCAGGATTGAACTTTGACACTGCCAGGGTGTGCAACGTCTTGTCTCGGTCCTTCAAGGTTACCAGATAACTGTCCACCTCTCCTGCTGCCTGATTCCAGGAGACGGTGAGGAAGTCTGTGCGACCGTTGTTACTGACCCGCACATCAGTGACCGCAGCAGGCACTGTGGAGAGAAAAGTTGAGTCAGACATGCAGGCAAAAGTTGATACTACACAGCATCCTTACTCATCCATCCCATTTCAGAGTATTGCTTTTATATTTTCTGAAAGGAAGAGATTTGTTACCAAAATTAGATTATTTTTACCTGACCAAGAAAACTGACTGGACAACAATGTTACAGGATTAAATTCAAACAAAAGATTAGACATATGATCCCTTTCAAGCACTGAGGAAATGCTTAGAAGAAATCAATGCCTGGATGTGCCATAATTTTCTTCAACTGAATAAAAACAAAACTGAAGTAATAATCTTTGGACCAATAGAGGAGAGAGCTAAAGTTAGCACACAGCTTCAGTCACTTCAGCTAGTAACCACTGATCAGGCCTGAAATCTAGGTGTAGTACTGGATTCAGACTTGAACCTCCAAAATTATTTAAAGTCAATTACAAGGTCGGCTTTCTATCACCTGAAGAACATTTCCAGGATTAAAGGACTAATGTCTCAGCATGATCTGGAAAAACTAATCCATGCGTTTATTTTTAGTCGAATTAATTACTGCAATGGTGTTTTCACAGGTCTGCCTTAAAAGTGGATCAGACAGCTGCAGCTGATCCAGAACGCTGCTGCCCGTGTCCTCACTAAGACTAAGAAAGTAGAGCACATCACCCCAGTTCTAAAGTCCTTACACTGGCTCCCTGTATCTCAGAGAATAGACTTTAAAATACTTCTGTTAGTCTATAAATCCCTGAATGGCTTAGCACCCATATATATCGCAGACTTGCTATCAGTGTATCAACCCTCCAGACCACTCAGGTCTTCTGGCTCCAGCCTGCTCTGCATACCTAGAACCAGAACTAAACATGGAGAAGCAGCATTTAGTTCCTACGCTCCACTTATCTGGAACAAACTTCCAGAAAACTGTAAAAGTGCGGAAAGCCTGAGTTCTTTAAATCAAGACTAAAAACACATTTGTTTAGGATTGCATTCGACTGTTCAAGTTAAACAGTTAAACTGAAACATCCTTAATTCAAATTTGTTATTTTCTTTAGTCCAACTATTTTTAATGTTCTTTTTTGTTTCTGCATTTTTTATTTTATTTTTTTCCTACTTGCTTTAATACTTTTTTATTTTCCTATATTTTAATCATGTAAAGCACTTTGCATTGTCTTTGTACTGAATTTTGCTATACAAATACATTTGCCTTGCCTTGCCATAGGCATATGTATAATAGCCAAAAATATTCCCATTGTACACTCAAACCTAAACTAGTCTATGCAAGAATTGTACTTAAAGAATTTTCAAAAGTTTCCCCGCAGCAGTAAAACACCAAAGCTTTTCCTGAAAGGAAGTCTGACTACAAACTCTTTTGTGTTGTTGTCCCTTTTGGACACTTCCTGTAAATTCCACAAAAAATTCCAGCTTTTCAATAATATCCGGCTTTCTGCTGAAAGCAAACCCAAACACCGTCTTCCTTTTTGGTCTGCTATGTTGCCGAGTTCAAACATTCTGAAATAAGAAACTTTCTGAAATCTTCTAAAACCGGGATTTGATCGTCTTATCAGTTTCATTTTATCACTGTTAATATCTAAGATTGCAACGCATTCTAGAATGACGTGCCTCAGTTATGATTTCCTTCCTTGCTCTTGTTCCTTCTCCCATATATGTTAGATGTCCCATTACTGATGACTTCTCTAAGCCAGATAAACTTGCAGCTGCTTCCTGCAAACACGTCTCAAGGTGTACAAAAGTACAGAGTGATTGTTTTGTTTCTTATTGCTGCTTCATTATCTGTTATGATGAACTAAGGACAAATGGGAGTCCACTCTAGCCCCTTTTTCCTGTTTTTACCTTTGGAATATGGTTTTCCTGGACTTGTGGAAAAATATACAAGTGTACCTTAAAAAGTTGTAGTCTTTTAAAAAAATGTTTACTGGGGTTCTGTATACTAATGCTGCCATCACAGAAATGGAAATGAGCTTTTAGAGGGCCCTGCTACCACCTCTTATCAGTTGCATTTGGACAGATTATGACAGAGTAAAGTTTGTGAATGTTGCCCATTTTAAATCATGACATTTTAGCTCAAGAATGAAAAATAATCAAACTATCACTGCTTTGATTATCAGCGACAGGTTATCTCACCTGTGCGCCCTTCAGCTACAGTCTGTCTGGAAGTGAGTCCGGCTCTGACAGTGGTGACCACCACTTTGTACTGCGCTCCAGGTCTCAGGTTCTGAAAGCTTATGCTACTGATGTTCGCCATCACACTCCCATTCTTTATGATGCTGCTGTCATGGACCAGCAAGACACGGTATGAGTCTTTATCTCCAGGTGCTGACTTCCAGTGAGCCTGAAGGCTGTCAGTGCTGCCGAGGTTAGAAACCTGCAGCCCACTTACTGGAGCTGGTGCTGTGATGACAGAAGAAGAAGGATTGTTAATTTATAACACATTTATTTTATTGTTCAACAAAAAACAATAATCACTCCCTCATTGTAATGTATCACTCTTTACAAAGATAACAGCCTGAGACTTACTGGTCCATGCTGTCTTGGAGGCAGAGCTGCTCAGGTTTCCACTGCTGGTTATCACGGTAACAGTGTAACGGCGTCCTGAGGTGAGACCGTTGAAGGTGTACTCTGTGGACCCACCGCTGAGGATCTTCTGAGTGTCAGGAGTGGCGAGGTCCTCATCTGTAAGGAGCAGGAGGAAGCTGTCCCATCTTCCAGCAGGCTGTCTCCACCGGACACTCAGAGATGTCTCATCAGCACGAGGGACGACAAGCTGCTGCACAGGTCGAGGTGCTGGGAGTAACAAGAGATTTACATTTTTAATACCAGAACACTGAAAATTCATAAGTAAAACCCTTCCTTACAAGAGGAGGTTGTTTATACATTTGGAACCAGTCAAAACTGGTGCGTGGGCTGCCTTTAACTACTGGGATCACTGGTGTAAATCACTGTGCTTTTTTCACAAGATCTGTTACTTTTCTGTGATTTTTATTGCTTATTAATTTTGACCCAGCTGCAGAGGGTGTCAGCTAGTAACACTGATGCATTATAGCAGGAAATTCTCCCCAAGCTTGTGGATTCTCGCTGGGTATTCTGACCTTCTCACACTATCCACAAGCATGACTGTTAATAGGATGTAGTTAAAACAGGATTTTGGTATCTGTGTCTGTCTATGCTAGGTAGTTCCTCCTATGTGTTCCTATTTCCCTACAATGGGGACTTGTCAAGGGTATGACCGGCATCTTGCCTACTGGGACAGATAACAGCCATCTAAAAACCATGCACAGAGAAGAGGGTATAGACAATGGCTGAATAAAACATAAATCAAATGAGTGTTGTAATGGTAACTGACCTAGCCTGCTGCTGCAGTGCGCCGTGTTACTTAAACTGCCGCTGTTCACGATGACATCTGCAAAGTACAGGTGTCCTGGAACCAAACCGAGGCTCTGGATGGGCTGAAGAAGCTCCTTGCTCTGCTTACTAATGGTCTGATTCATTAGAACAGCTGAGCCATCTTTCAACAGGATGCTGTAGTTATCCCAGTCACCTCTGGGTGGGGACCAGCTGAGACGCAGATTGCTGTTGTCAATGGACATGGAGAGGATGGAAACCTGGTCAGGAACTGAAACAAACGGACACAGAGAGGCCATTATAACAGGTCCCAATGGTACTAAGGCAGCAGTTGAAAACAACTATTTTATTTCTAACAGCTAGGTGCATCAAAGAAAAAGAAATCATCATCTCCTTTGTATTCTTGAATTGATGATGTTTAGTTTTGTATTTGCTCTGATGCCTAAAATAGGTCTGTTTAGCTTGATAATCCCCCTAAATGTGCATTCAGACCTTAAACTGTTAAAAATGAGACTTGGAGTGAACTAGGGCGAGCCTCACACCAAGCGTTAGTAGGCTAGGTTAACCTAGGTCAACCTGCCACCATATATTTTTGTCTGTTATTGAGACAGAGTACCTGACTGCACTTTCAGGGGTTTATGTCTCACCTTTCTATTAGGCTGGTACTTACAAACTACCACTCATATTACAGATTTTTCAAGTGATTTATTTGATATACCTGTTCTCCCTGCAGTCCTGCTCTCCGAACTCAAGCCACCAGCTGACGAGTTGACAGACAACTGGTAGTGGCGTCCAGGAGTTAGATCATAAAATACAAACTCAGTAACATTGGGGGACAGAATTCGTCGCTGAGGGGTCAGTCCTGGAGCCCACATCGTCACCGTAAAAAAATCCACACCACCTTCAGGTGGGGTCCAGGAGACCCGAAGAGTGTCTGAACTACCTTCGTTGTTGATGGTCAGATCTGACACTGCTGCTGGGACTGAGGAAGAGAAGAGAGCATTTTACAATTTTCCCATTTTTCCCAATACCCAATCTGACCAGCACAGGTTTAGTCGGAACCTTTTTAACCCACCCCAGAAGACAGACAATATTTGGTTGAACAAGTTTACAGAAGTCATATGCGGATGTGTCTGTGTTTAGGATTCTGAGTGTTCAGCTACACAAGGTTTTTAAACCAAACTGAACTTCAGCCTTAATGGGGCTTCTGGTTTTCTCCTCTACTGTTATACCTCCCTAATCCAGTTCACTTTTGCAGAGAAACATATGGAGTCTTACTGAATTGATTTCTCTCAAACATAAGCTCCTTATGTAGCATAAACTTCAGGGATCCAGTCAGAGTTAGCTTCCAGTTTAGAAGAGCCAGGTCAAGGTTTCTGATTATCTGTCAGATTAGTTGTTGCTAAATGTCTCTTGCTACAATAACAGGTGCATGTTGGGAGCTGGAGAAGTTCCATCTCTCTCCAGCAGAGTCCGCCTTGGATCCTCCTGAGCTGAGCCTTCGACACACCTGAGGCGCATCTCATCATCAGAGGATCCACAGTATATAAGCTGTCTTCAGACCTTGCCTCGACGCCGCAGTGTTAAATCCAGTTGGTTAGCACCTAAGCCTAGTATCTTCTGAGAACCTTTTTCCAGACTGGATTCTAACCCTTTGTCTCTGCTTTCAGGAAACCTGTCTTTCTCCTGTGAAGCTCTGGAAGAGCTTAACCTGCCGAGCCTGCCCTCTGAGCCAAACCTGAAGACTCTTCTCTGGATTCCCATGCAGCTCAGGACTAAGAGCTGGAAACTCAGAACCAAGGTCTGCCTTCAAGCTAGAAGTAAGACGCTGAAGCAGTTATCGGACTCTGCTGAACGAAACAATCTCTGGATCCCAACAGTTCCTCCCTCAAGGCTTTATCAGGACTCCTCAAGGTACAAACCGGAAAACCTTAAAGACTCAAACTCAACAGAGCCAACGCTAACTAAACTGTCTCCCTCACAGACTCCAGTGAACCAGCCCCCCAGGCCTGAACCAGTACCAGTGTTATTTCCATGTGCTTTGTGAAACAATAAACCTGTTAAACTTTTATTCTGTCTCCGTGGTGTTCTGCATCTTGGGCCTCTCAGTAACCCATCATGACAGTGCAGACACTCCAGTGCCACATAATGGGCATAGGTTCTGCTTCCTAACCTGCAATTGTCTCAGACTTCTCTCTTCAATAGACAGACATCATTTAGTAGTTGCACCAACCTGTGTAGGTCTGGGTTGAGACAACATGTTGGAGACCAGCAGCGACTGTTACCACAGAGACCCTGTACAGTGTCCCTGGCTTCAGCCTGTCCAGCTCAATAAAGGTTGTGGTGTTCTTCAAAGTGACATTTCTCAAAAGAAACCCCTTCTGGTCCATCAGCAGAACTCTGAATAGCTCTATCCTTCCCTGGCCTGGCTGCCAGGACAAGCCAAGGCTATCTGAAGATGAGGATGCCACTTGGAGGCTGTCCACAGCTGAGGGGGCTGTAGGAAAACCAAGACAGTTTATCCAGCAACTGAATAAGCTATTTATAAAAATACACCTCTAAAAAATATAGCAGTTTATCCATATTTCTAAGGGATTTTGAAAAATTTGTAGTTATGATACTGTATCTGTGGCACTATTGTCCTTCTTTATCTAACCTGTTACTGCAATGGTGTGCACAGAGGCAGCAGTCTTGTTTCCAGATGTAGCCAACACACTGATGTTGTACAGAGTTCCAGGGACCAGTGAACTGAAACCAGACTGGGTAGCTGCAAAACCCATAATTCTGGTACTGCGAACTAACCCAGAGTTGACATCCTCCAGAGTAACATCATACCAGTCGACATGTCCTAGAGAGGGAGACCAGTCGACCCGTAACCCAGATGATGCAGCCTGAACTGAAGTTGTTCCTTCTGGGTCCAGCTGGACCTTAAGATTAGCTGGACCAACTGGGTCTGTAGGAGGAGAGAGGAAAACAATGGTTGGGATCCTGACTGGAAGATATTCTATTTGAATATAGTCTACTGAAGGACAAATATGATAAATATCCAAGGGATTAATTACTCTAAGAAATAGAGTTGGATGTTTTGTGACTGAAGACTTTTTGTCTCAGAGGGTTAGGTTTAGGAGAGATCCAGGATTGTATGTTATCGAGAGGGTTGGACAGGCTGGAATCAAGTTAGGTTCAGGGTAAGTTTGGGTTATTAATAGATTTAGACATGCAAGGAAAATGTCAGATTTAGGGTACAGAAAATCAACACATTTGGAAATAGGTTAGGTTCTCGTGGGAATGAAAAAGGCCAATGTTTAAGGTTCTGGTTGAGCTGAATGTAGCAATACATATAAACAGGACACAGAAATACAGGTGGGGCAGGAAGTGAACAAGTTTCACTGTGCCAACTTGGAAAAAAGAAACTGAGTCCTGGGGGGCAAGTGACATAAAAACACTGATGGAGACACTGATGTATACTGACAGTCATTGAGAAACAGGTGGATGCTACGATTAGCCAGACTCTGTCACAGAAATCTGTAGCCATCTCCAAAAGTCAAAAGAAGTATGTCTAAATATATTTTTTTAAAACAGAAAGTGCTCAACCAAAAGTGTAGGCAAAAAGAAACCAATAAAAACACAATATGCAAAGTATTTCAATTCTTTTGTATTATTTAAAAAATAATCTCCAGTGAATTTAACTTAACAACTCAGTATGATATCATGACAAACACAGTGTAACCCTTAATGGAGATTAAAGTTCAGAAAGATGAAAGAAAACTGAATCACTCATAGAAATTTTTGAATAAAAAAAAAAAGTAAATTCTTACCTGTTTGTAACAAGCCTAGGCTCATCTTCTCATTCTCCCCATAAATAACAGTTAACTTGTACAACGTTCCTGGCTTTAGCTTTGTTATATTGCAGATGAAGTTAAATCTATTCTTTCCATCCAAACGACAGTGTCCCGAAATTGGCCCAGAATCTGAGTCCTTGAGGGCTATCAAGTTAGGCGATGGACAGGCAGTGGTGAACCAGACCATGGCGGAGTCCCAGCTGGTCCTGACTCTTGTCAGTTCCAAGGAGCACTTGGGTCCAGGCGAGGTTTGGACCTGCAACAAGAGGTTACATCTTGAGCAAAGAAAATAACCTAAAACCAGCTGACCCAAACTGCATTGACTATCACTAACTTGGTTCAGCATTAAAGGTTATGGATCGGTTCTGTAAAGTGTATTTTAAGGAACGCCAATCGAATTACCAAAATAGTAACACCACATATGTCATGATAAAGTTTGTGACTGTTTTTTTTGTGTTTACCGAAGGCTCTGATTCATAGAGACATAAAAGTTGAAATCATCTCTAAATTGTTCTCACCTTCCTGATGCTCCATAACAGACTGAGGATCAAACATCCTGGGAGCATTGCTTGTCCGTCCCGTTAACAAAAAGTATACATAGTGCATTTCAACACAGGCCAAAACACAGACGAGGTCACATGTTAAAGTTGCCATCCAGCTTAGACGGATCATGTCCAGAAATGCAACATCAGTTCAATAGCTGATGAGATGTCGGCTGAAACTCCCCTTCAACCTTCATCTCATCAGCCCCTCTTCTCAGTTCACTTCTCTACGACTCAGAATCTTTTACTCCAAATAGAAGCCTGACCCACCCTGCCTTCCTTCCTGCACGCCCCGGACTTTTCTCCACCAACATCAAACTAGGCTTCATTAGGGCCAACAACATTAGGCATTGTTGAGTTATCCAGTCAGGAAGAGACCACAAACACCCTAAACAGAGTTCAGTTCGAAGTTAGTGAGTGGATGTTAGACTGACTCTGCTTTGTAGAAGTGTTTTAGGGTTTTTAGGGTTTGTGGGAGGATTGGGACTTGTCTAAAAACTATACAAAAATAAGAAATTGGGACATTGTCATTGGGCATATAAAATCAGAATCGTGACTTTAAAACTACTCTTAGTTAAACAGATTAAGCTGAGAATTAAGAGCGAGGGGGAAGTGGAGAGCTTTAAGGCAACATTTTCTACAATCATACTCTGAGCACTGAAATTTTGCAGTGAGTTTAATTTGCATTTAATTTTCTCATCTGAGAAAATTAAACGCAAAAACATCACAATCCCGTATGTTGCTGGAGTGTTTGAAAAGCTCAAGAGGATTTTCTCCAAACACAAAATCCCAGTACATTTCAAGCCAAACAAAACCCTTGAGCAGAGGCTAGTGCATCCTAAAGATAAAACCCCCAGACCGAATATGAGCGGAGTGGTATATGCTGTTCAGTGCAGCGAGGAATGCTCTGATCTTTATATTGGAGAAACCAAACAACCTCTCCACAGACGCATAGACAGGTTTCAGATATTACAGGCTAACAATGGAACCAAATGACCCACTCATCGGTTACCATTTGCATGTTTTCAAGCAATACAAGGCCTTGTCTATATAAAGACGAAAACTCACTGTGGATCCAGACATTTGAATTGACAAAGCTTCCTGGAGAGGTAGCGAAACATATTCAAATCTTGGAAACTAAGTCCAGTGGATTTTTTTTTTACTTTTACGGAAGTTCTTACTTGAAAAACATAGGTTTCACAGTGTTTTCAATAAGATGTTGGAGATCTCACATAAATTTGTTTTACAGTGTTGGCTGTCATCACTCTGTGAGCTGCCACCTTAAGGTGGTGGGGTTGTTTGAGTGCCGGAATGATCCTAGGAGCTATGTTGTCCGGGGTGTTATGCGCCTGGCTAAACAGACACGATATACTCACTTTTGTGGTGGTCAGCGGTGGAGTTGTAGAAGATTTTGTTGTTTGTGTGGTGATGCTGGAGAGGCTCATTTGTACAGTTCTGATTGTAGTCATTGTGGGTGTAGAGGGGGTTGATACTGTTCTAGTTGTTCCTCTGGGTGAGGTCACAGGTGTAGAACTAGGTGTTGCTTCCATTGTAGAAACACGTCTTCTGGCTGCTGTAGTTTTAGATGTGGGTGCAGCTCCGGTTCTAGTTGTGAATGTATGCATCGTTGTTGACTTAACAATAGGCGTGGTCTCATGAGAACCACCAGGCTTGGTTGTATTTTCTGTGGTGATTTCATGTGTGGGGGTTCTAAGTGTGGACTTAGGTGTAGAAGTTGCAGGTGTGGCTGTAGGTGTGAATTCATTTGTGAAAGTTCCAGATGAAGCTCTAGGAGCAGAAGTTCCAGGTGTGATTTCAAGTGTTATAGCTCCAGGTGAGGTTCCAGGTGAAGAAAACACATTTTTAAAAGCAAATGTAGATTTAGGGGTTGATCTTGGTGTGACTGGTTTGGTCTCAGGTGTTATTGCAGGTGCATTTGTAGATCCTGAAATAGCACGTGTAGAGTTTGGTTTGGTTTCAGTTGGCCCAGTTTGTGCACTTTCAAATTCTTCGGACACATTCTTAGTTGTGTCTTGATGTTGGGTGAAACCTTGAGCTGAAGGTGTAGCTTCTGTGACAAGCTTAAGGGTGTGATGGTTATATACTGGCTTTGTCGCAGTCATGGATACAGATGTCAGGTGTGATTCTCCAGTCGTGTAAGCTGTGGTTGGTGGGGCTAAAGTAGAACTTTCTTTGTTTGTAACAGGATACGATGCTGCTGTGGTGTTAAGTTGAAACTTGGTAGATAAAGTATCAGGAGATGTAGATGGAGTGGCTGTTGAAAACTTAATTGGGACTGTTGAGGTCTTTGATTCAGCCATGCTCACTTGAGGGTATCCTGTAGAAGAACCCAGTCTGGTGGTTCTGCCTCCATTGGTGTTCACCAGGTCTTCATCAAGGGACGATAATGTGCTCAACACTGATGATATTTCAGTCCTGGGCCACGAGTATGTTTGCCCTCTTGATTTGTCTGACACTTCTAATGGGTTGGCAGTGGATACCACAACACCAAATGAACCAGTTTGAACTTCTGATTGGTGAATGGTAAAAACACCAGGACCCAAAGAGACACTGTAAACATCTGATTGGTCAGTTGCAAACCCATCTGGACCAGAGGAGACAGTTCTGACATCCAAAAGATTGGTGGTGGACACATCCGAACTGTGTGAAGCAATGAGTGTATTTAACTGGTCAGTGGTGGACACACCTGGTCTGGCCGGGACACTGTGACCACTTACTTGATTTGCAGTGGAAATGCTGAGATCTGATAACCCACTTTTGTCTGAGATTGGATGTAACAGCTCTGAGATAGACGTTATGCCATTTGGATCTAAATCTGGAGGTTTGGTCGTGTTGACATGAGTTGAAGCTCCGTGAGTTGATGAATTGTGGATGTAGGAGATATTGGAGTGTTGGGTGGTTCCATGGGCTTCGTCTGTGGTAGGTAATGGTTTATTTGTGAGGGTTCTGGCTGAACCACTGGATAGTTCCTCTGGTTCATGGGTGGATGAATCAAAGCTAGGAGCATATGTCATGTCTGCAAATGAGAACAACACAAGAAATAAGGATCATCATGCGGAAAAATTGGTTTAAAATTTGTACTGAGCAGTTTAGCTTTGACTAACTTAGCAAGAATTTCATTAAATTTTCAGTTTCAGTTTTTTTCATTAAAAAGAAAAGTGATGACGTATCTGAAAGGTCAGAGAGTTTATCTGGAGGAAGATAAAACTGAATGAAAAATATATAAAAGAAATACAACTAGGGAGAGGTTTGATCTGCTCCTTAATTTACATTTCTTATGGGACAAACGTCTAGCTTTGACACAAGGATAGAGCTACAAAGTCAAGGTTTTCGTTTTGGTCTGATATACAGTAAGGTGGTTCAGGTTGCTGCTTTATTTATATATAACTTTAACATCTTCAGGTTTGTTTTGAAATCAGTTTGTTCATTTTCTCTATCAATGTTTATCTACCACAGTTCATACCCCACCTGGATTTAGTACTGATTTCTCAGACTGCCTGTGTTTTTGGATGTTCAGTTGATGCTGCTATGTCATTGAATGTTTCTGGTTTTGTCTTAATCCTGCTCTAAGTATCCTTGTGTTTAGGTCCACCTAACCCTTACCTCAAAACAGTAAGGATGCTTATTTTAGATGTTGCAGCCTTCACTTTAAGCAGAAAATGAAGCACTTTTAGGTTTTTAATGATTAGGTGGATGACCTGTAGCTCAGTTTGACCATAAAATGTCTCAGACTTTTAAGACCTCCTGTTGTGTCCTTTTCATTGACACATGCCCTTTGCACTTTAAAAAAACATGATTTTCATTATTGGATATCATGTCATTCTTATGACATAGAAGCAGCTAGATAAAGTAACACTGTCTGGAGTCAGCACCATGTTTTCTGATCTTGGATCAGAGTAGAAATAAACACTGTAGCACTGTGAATAGTGTCTAATATTTTCACTCTTTCTCTCCTTCCCTCATCTTAAAAGATTTGGAAGCATATTTCTGCATTACAGACTTCACAAAGAATCTTTCCTTCTCCTTTCCATGAGTTTCTATACATTTTAGTTCTAGGTAATTCATTAGTTTTCATCTAAATGCAGATTTCTAGCTCCATGGTGCTATTCCAAGATTGATTTACATAACATTTCTCTGAGTAATCCAATGTCCCATAGCCCAATTTATAAAGGTGACTCCAAAACAAAACAAAGGGGGATTCTGGCTAAACTTTGTTATGTGAACATGAAGGTCTATCATGCACCTACAGTGGCAAAAGAAATCTGGAATAAAACAGAGCTTTGCTGAACTTTCAAAAGCAAAGAAACCGTCATCTACAAATAGCAGTTTAGCCAGAGACAGATGTGCTCTCAGCTAGTAATGTCAGCAGTAGTATAAACTGAATTTTGTTCCATTATTGTTTCAAACAAATAACATTCATCCATCCATCCATTTGCCGTCATGCTTATCTCAAGCGGGGTCGCAAGGGCTGCTGGTGCCTATCTCCAGCTGTCTATGGGCGAGAGGCGGGTTACACCCTGGACAGGTCACCAGCAAACCATCGCAGGGCACAATCTAATAACATGTTTAATTAATTGAAATTTGGAAGAAAAAAGCATATTAGATATGAGACTTCCACAAAAAAAAAATTCATAAATAATTTGGAGTAACTTACTTTCCTCAGATTTTACTTTGTGCTTTTTGATTGTTTTTATTTCGAAATTGAAATTTTTCAAATTCCAACCAAAACCATCTAGTGGTCTCATTAAACAGCAAATTTATTTTTGACTAAGAATTCTTTTGATTTTTCGTGTCTAGATTTTATCTCCTAAATTTCAATTTACAGAATATGTTGATTGTTTACAACAATTATGGAACAAAATTCAATTCATACAGCAGTAGGCTTGAAGGTATTAGATTCGTAGCTGCACTCTGTCTTCAGCCTTCAATATAACACAGAGGAGATCTTCAAAGAATACAGTTTAGATCATATACGGACTCCCTCCCCCCAACCTGCCGCAAAAACCACCAATCCCGTGAAGCAGAAAACCTCCCATCAACTACCTGATAATCCACAGATTGTAAGGGGTTATCTATCAGATCTCAGATCAGCAACTCCTAAAGCCATGATTCAGCATTGGTTTAGACCTGCCTCCTTCCAGGTAAGAACAAATTAGTGTTTTTTAATGTTATTCCAAGCCAGCTTGGT